TTTATCAGTAGGAAATGGCATTAAAGAAGATGCATTATCAGCTGCTTTGCCAGTGTACCTTAAGGACTACTGGACCTTTCTGTCAAACTTGCAGGTGAAACTTCCTCTATGTGTTGTTTTCCCATTTAAATGTGAACTCCTTGAGAGCAGAAATTGCCTTATATTTTGTCTCTACCCCCAGCCCTTAGCACAGTGCCTTACACATAGAAAACGATTAATAAATGTGTTTTTGCTCACTCATTTGTTTATTTATTAATTCACTCATTCATTCTAATGTCATCTCAGCTAGCCTACTTTTAGCAGAGACTTATGGGTATGAGGACAAAGCTGTTGCTCACTTCTCAACATGTGATTGGAACTTAGGATTGAAGAACTTTGGGAGTCTAATAGGGACAGTACCCACTATCCTCAAGGCAAGGGCTGTCCGTACTTCAGATGACTTAGTGCTCAAAGTTCCCGTTCCTTCACCAAAGCCAATGGTGAGATGTCCATTTGGTAATGCTCCAATTAGAGCAGGCAAAAAAAGCTACTTGGTATTGCCAGTGGGATTCCCCATCTTCTTAATGCCAATATTCTGTTTCCAAGTTTCCATAATCTACTTATCTCTAGAGTTCACTCCCATTAAGTACTGAGAAAGAAGGTAATTTCATTTTACTCTTATTTCTTCAAAATGCCAACAAAATTTACACAAAGAAAAAAGTCACAGGTCAAAGGACATTCTAGTTTTAGGCCAATTACCAAGGTAAGTAAACTGTGATATTTCATTCAGTGGGCCATTTTACGCTAACCCAAATAAAGGACTTGATTCAAACATTTAAAGAGTTTGGTTTTGACATGGGTTTAAAAAAAAATACCCTTCCCTCCAGACACTGGAATGAGAATGAACAGGAACCTTCAGGAACTCCCCTTCCCCCCTTTAGAGTGCAGGCTGCTTTTTATTTCTGAATCTAAACCAGATGCCAGAGCTAGCCTTTTATTTGCTGTGGTCTGAATAGAACACTGCTTGCTTTGGAATTTCACAAAGCCCAGCAAAGGTTACTCCACAACCCACATTGTAAAGAAAAGCTAACCCAAGCCTGGCATCCTCTCAGCAGCTTAGCTGCAAAGGCACTGACAACGAGTCCCTCTCTTGGGGCCTGCTGGCTTTCTGGACACAACCTTTTATTTTTTTTTTCTCCTTTCCCAGGGCTTGCTCTGGTGTTCCTCCATCTTGCTATCTTAATCCCTACATTTACAATAACCATGTATTCCAGATTTTACAGGACTATGCTGATTTCAAGGAATGAAAGTATGCTTGTAAGATTGCTTGACTATTCTTGGAGTCAACTTCCCTTTCTGAGGAGCAGAGTGAAAAATAAATTCACATGTCTTTGTCAGGTCCTTTGGCCAAAAGAGAGTATCTCATGGCACACTGAAGGGTATTCTGAATGTTGACAAATTCGTCATTGTAGGTCTTATACAGAACTATGTTGCATTTCCCATAGAGAGGGAACTCAAAAGGAATTTTTGGCTTACCACTGGGATATTTTCCTGGCTTCATAGTTTCTATTGTACTGGTATTAATTCCAATAAACTTAATGGAGTTACAGAAAGCTTCAAACATGCCTGCACTTTTCACAATGAACTGCTGGTAAACTAATCCTTCCATTGTTAATAAAACTCAATGGTGTTGGGTTTTTTCAAAGGCATATATATCCTTGTTTAGATCATATATCCCAATTTTTCGTTCAGGAAAATATGGTCACTGCTTCCATACAATTATTTTCCAAGGATAACTTACAGACTTAGCAGATGAAAAGAAAACAAGATCCCACTTCTGGCACTTACTAGCAGCTTGGGCAAATCACTTAACCTTTCTAAACCTCAGTTTCCTAATCGATAAAATGAGGATATAGATAACTGTAGTATCTACCCAACAGCGTGGTTGTGAGGTTCAAATCAAATATTAGTAAAGTACTCTGTAAACTTTAAAGCATCTATAAGTATCCCCTATTATCATCATTACTATTATTATTATTATCTATGAATGATTGACATAGGTATGCCTGCTGAAATTTTACAGTCTAATTTCAGGAAATTTCCAAGTTAAAATATCCTGCAATTGGTTCCTGATTCTATGTTTTATTCTAAGATTCTATTCTAGTCTAAGATTTTGAGATGGAAGGAATTTTAGGAATCACCTATTCTATCAGCTCTGAAAGTGTGGTCCAGGGACCCCTTAGGGTCCCTGAGACCTTCTTTAAGGGTCATTGAGGTTAAAACTATTTTTATAATAATACTAAGACATTTTAGTCTCTAATATTGTGAATATCAGTAGATATAACTCCCATAAAGAGGTTCTCAATAATTTTGAACATAAAGTGGTCCTGAGACCAAACACTTCTTCAAATAAAGAAATTCAGGCCCAGAGAAGCTAGTGAACCAGTCCAAAGTCATGTAAGTAGTTAACAGTACAACTGAGACTCAAATCCAATTTGTGGATTATCAGAGCAAATTTTAAACTTCAAGTCCAATTGACCCATGTAACACTGAGCATGACTTTCAGCTACTTTCTCCTGCCATTCAGGTGGTAGGAGCACAAGTAGAATCATACACCACTTCAAATACACATCTAAGTCATTTTGCCCAGCTACGAAATCACAAGGACCCAAATTCAAATCCTGCCATAGATGCTTACTAGTTATGTGAACCTAGGCAAATCATGTAACCTCTCCATTTTCTCTTAGCTAAAAGGAGATTGTCCTAGATGATTTCTGTGGTCTTGTTCAGTTCTAAATCTATGTCTTAAGATTTTTAAAATTATTTAATGTTTTCTATTCCCTGTGCCCATGGAGATAGTGTGGTACAGTAGATAGCTCAGTGGAATTGGAATGATGATAGACTTGTGTTCAAATCCTGACTCAGTATCTACTAGTTGTGATCATGGGCAAATAAAAAACCTCATAGCACTTTAGAGCTGGAAGGCGCCTCAGATATGGCCATGCCCCACATTTTACAAATGAAGAAAGTGAGGCTCAGAGATGTAAAATGACTTGCTTAAGGTTGTTTAGCCACTTTGAGACTCAGTTTCTTCATCTGTAAAATGTAGATAATAATATCTGTGTAATACCTTTCAGGGTTGTTGTGAGAATCAAAATGAGATTATAAATGTGAAGCGCTCTATAAGTCTTAAAGCCTTAACTATGTGCCAGATAGTATCATTAGCACCTACTATCAAGAATTTACCAAACCAAGTATTTTAACACTGTAATTTCTTGAATTACATACTCATTTATTGCCAGAGACTCAAATTCCCAGCACTTGGCAATACCTAGTAAAGAGCAGGGAGAAAGAGTCAGGTAAAAAGATTGAAGAAGGATGAAGAGAAATTCAATCAGAAACCTTTGCCAAACTTTAGTCTGGAGAACACTGCTTTACAGTCAAGCTTCACATAGTTACCTCTCCCCAAAGGATGATGAGATTCCACTTCTCAGTGCCTGTAAGATTAGCTGGGATCCATCCAAATGTGGTCCCTTCCCACTGAGCTATTGTGGGGCCCTAGAAAAATTACCTAGCAGGGCTCTATTAACTATAACAGGGATGGGAAAAGGGTGGGGGGGAGGGGATATCTCTTATTTCAGGGGCTAAATCTATCTTACCCAATAGCTCACATCTACAGATACTTCATAGGAAGGTAAAGGTTGGGGCTGAAGACCCAAGTAGAGCTGGGGCTTAGAATCAAAGAACACAAAATCTGCAGGAGTCAATCGATCAACTATTATTTACTATACATGCACTATGTGCCAGCCACTGTGCTGGGAGTGAAACAATTCCTGTCCTACAAGAAATGGACATTCAAGGGGAAGACAACATGTACATAGATAAACAGATGAATGGATGGATAGATAGATATAGATATAGTGTATATATTGCTATATAAAAATACATAGATACTAGATCGACAGAGCATTATTAACTACTTATTATATGTCACAGATACACTCAAGGAGTTTACAATCTAGTGGGGGAAGATAAAAAAGGAGCTGGAAAGGGAGTAGGGATAGCCCTGTAGGAACAAAGTGGTTGGTAAGAAGTATGGAAAGTAAATTAAGGAGTAATGTAAAGTAGCAGATAGAAGGTGACCTTGGAGGGAAAAGCACTAGCAGTTAGAGGAAGGCCTCATGCAGAAGGCATCACTTGAGCTGTCAATCAAATAATAAGCATTTATTAAGCACCTGCTATATGCCATGCCCTAAAGAAAATACAGTCTCTGCCCTCCAGGAGCTCACAACCTAATGAATTAATCAATCTAATTAATCTACTGAGCTGTCTTAAGGGAAACCAAAGATCCTTAGAGATTTTCAATTTAACCTTCTTATTTCACAGGTGGGGAAAAAAAGTACAGAGTGGTTAAGGTGACTAGACCAAAGTCACACAGCTATGTGTTGGTAGAATTAAGACTAGAGCCCAAGTCTTTTCTACTATACCATAGAATACTACCACCCATAGCATGGAATAGATACAGAATTTTGAGGGCTTCAGCACAAAGCATCTTATAATTGTGATGTTCAAAGTGTGTGTCCACAACATATGGCAACCAATAGTTATGCCAGAAGCCAGAGGGAAAAGCACACAGAGGTGGAGAACTAGACCAAGTGCAACTTAGTTTTACAATGAGATGCAAAATGGCAATGTTGATAGCTCTTGGCCTTGTGTTTAGGAGAGAGGTCAATCATTTATTTTAGGACTGCTAAAAGAATAATGGGAAGCATCTGTTTCTGTAACAAAGAGCCATATTCATCAAAGCAGAGACATCAAAGCTACTATTAGCATTTGTACCACTGGGCAATTGAGTCCTGTAGGGCATAAGGCAAGGCCTATCCCACCCACTTCCAAGTGAATCACAAAGCCAGAGTAACAGTCAAGAGTTTTGGTTTTGACAGGAGAATTAGAAATCAACTAGCTTAATTCCTTCAATTTTTTTTAAAGATGATGAAATTGAAGCCCAGAAGTAAAGAGACTCATCTAAAGTAAATTTAATAGATTCAATTCATTTCAACAAATATTTACCCCGTGCCTAGTATGTCTAGTTTACTCTGCTGGGTGCTGGCATGCAAAGATGAAAAAAATGACCTACTCTTTGCCATTGAGACATTTATAGCCTTGTAGGGAGATAAACCATGGATCCAAATAAAAATAATACAAGTAAGAATGAGATAAGTACATAAGAAAGCTCAAATGATGATTTTCATTGATGAGTTCCTTTGAGGGCCACCATTTTGGGGATGGGCCCAGGAGGGCCATGCTTCATTTCCCTCTAGGCTGTGCTTCTGACTTTCCTGGATAGCATCACCATGACTCAGCTATCTTCTCACCCTGGAAGTTCTCTCAGTGTCTGGAGTCTTCTCATCCTGGAATAATAATAATTAACAACAATAATAATAGCTAGCATATGTATAGCATCTACTATATGTCAGGCACTGGGCTAAGCACTTTACAAATATTGTCACCACCTGGCACATTCTTATCCCCAATATCCCACCACTCACCTCCTACCATTGATGAGTTCTTTTTGGAAGCCACCATGTTGGGGACAGGCTCAAGTCAGCCATACTTCATTCCCTTCCATGTTTCTGACTCTCTACTCCATGCCACCACTAATTCACCTTCTCCTCCTCCTGAATTCACCCTCCTCTTTCAGCTCCTTTTTATGTGTTATCTTTTGCCCTTAGAATATAAGCTCCTTGAGAGCAGGAACTATCATTCTTTTTTGCCTGTATTTGTATCTCTTGATGCCTAACACTTACTAAGAATTTAATAAATACTTGCTACCTATCTGCCTGCAAAATGGAAGAACTTAGAGATTGGGGAAAGGGGAGACCAGGAGGTTGTATGGAAGAATGAGCTGGCACCTGGGCTAGTTCAGGAAGGAAGAGAGGGACTTCAATGATTAAGAGATGCTGAGATTGTTTATTGTAAACATGAAAGATGACAGAAATACATGGAGGTGAGAGGACAGAATGGGATTGGGAAATAGATCAAAGATTATAAAATGGCAGACCTGGGAGTGGGTGTGGAGGGGGACCTTAGTTACTATCTAGTCCATTCCCTTCATTTTTGGTCTTAAAAAAAAATCTGGGCTTGTATTTCATCAGTGTAGAGCAGAGGTGTTAAACAGGTGGCCCCCATCAGCAAAGCAAATATAATCAGGAAATATTTAACAAAATAAATAAAAATACAATACAACATAGATAATATTAATGTGTGGTTTCTAAGTCAATATGCATCCCTCAGGGATCTTTGTGTATGTTTAATTGATCTCCATTTTTGCTGGAGTTTGACACCACTAGTGTGGAGCAGAAGTTCCAAACTCTCCATAAGTAGCCTGTAAAACGCTCAACTCTAACCAAATTAAAATGTAATTGGGAAATGTTTAACAGAATAAATTAAAATACAATAGAGATGATGTTAATTTGCAATTTTGTAAGTCAATAAGGGGCCTAAAAGGCAGTTTGATACCACTTGTGTAGAGGATTCTACATAGAAACCTCTTCCAACTATACAGTTTTGGGTTCATCCTCTAGAATTTATAGACTTAGTGAGTCGTATGAGGCACACAGAGAGTAATTAACTTCTCTATAATTCCACAATTTGTATTTATCAGAGGAATTATTTGAACCCAGGTCTTCCTGACTCTAAGGCTAGCCCACTATATACTATACTATACTATACATGATGCCTCTCTTTTTTTTTTGGAGATGGACAAATTGTGACTCAGAGAGCTTAAGACATCTTCCCAGGGACACACAGCTTATAAATAACAAACTTGAACCTGGGTCTCTTGACTCCCAGTTTTGCTGGAACTACAATGCACCAGTGCATAGAAGGGTATGTTGTAAAATAAGGGGGGAAACTTAGATTGGAACTAGAAAGGTAGATTGGGAGGTTTTGAAAGCCATCTTAAGGAGTTCCTGTTTGTTCCCATAGGCAATAGAAAGCTCCTGAAGAGCCATACCCAGACCCATCTTGACACTGGGGAGATTCCATTAGTGGCCACATAAAGGCTAAATTGGGAAGGGAAAGACCAGAAAGTATATATATATATGTGTGTGTGTGTATGTGTGTGTGTGTGTGTGTGTATGTATGTATGTATGTGTGTGTATTTGTATGTATGTATGTATATATGTGTGTGTGTATGTATATGTGTATATGTGTGTATATACATATATATATATATATATATACACAAACATTATATATATGAGGTAAAACAAGGATCTATCTACAGGATTAAAAGATCCTATTTGTCATGACTAAGTTGAGGAAGAGGCTTCAATCATTATGCCAAAGTGGCCCATCCACAGCACCTCCAACTGCAACCTCATTGACTATACCACGGCTGATTCGATTGTGGCACATTGGCATGGCCAGGCCAAAGCCAGAGATGAATGAAATCTTACCAGTGAAGCTCAGAAGGACAAAAGAAAGAGAGTCTTCCAGGTGTCTCAGGCAGTCCTTCTAGGAGGGTGCTCTGATTCAAAGAGCTACTTGTTGGAAGGAAAGAAGGAACAGTTTTCAGCAGGATGTGACTTAGTACCATTGGGAGGGCAGGGCTGAGGGCAGGGCACATTCTTGAACCAAGGCCATTCACTGTCTTATGTGACCATTCCTCCTCTTCCAGTAAAACTCGTCTGGAAAGTTTTGGGCAGCTTCCCTAGTGTTAAAAAAAAATATGCTGCGCCAATCGGAAATTCTTCTTTACCTTTTTTTTTTCATTTTCAAAATTTCATTTTTCTTCCAGTAGTTTATACACACACACACCCTCCAACACATACATGCACACACACACACACACACACACACACACACACACACACACTGCACCACCACCACCACCACCACTACCACCACCACGACCATACCATACCACACTGCACTGGTGGCTATTATTATCTGAATGCTGATTATCACCATGCCAGCTTCAAATTCATCTTGAATGGAAAACACTGAATCTTATTAGACAAGTGAAAATGATTATGCTTACAAATCAGGATAGGCCACTGGACTCAATAACAATCTTATGTTTGATATCAATATTCACTTTGATTCTATGCTCCACCACAACTTCTCCACTTGTCTCCCCCCCCCCCACAATGGACAACAGACTGTCATGAAACAAGAATAATGCACTCTCGGGATTGTAGGACTTTATATAAGGCTTTATATATTGGAGAAGAATTCACTCCCTGAACTTTGCCCCATTGCTGTGTACCTCTAAGTGGGACCTACTACTTGTGCCTTCCTGAGATTACATTTTATAAAAATGATGTTGGTGGCAATGAGGCAGAGATTCCATTACATGCACAGTAGTTTCTAAGGGAACTCCAGGAGGGTCTTTGTTATTGGACTTTTGTAATGTCACCATCAAGGTGAAATAAATTAAGATTCTCTATGCACTGGATACGTTAGGATGCCAGCAACTAGCACTTCTTTCTTCCATATAATTAAGGAGAAAGTCACAAAAAGATAGTTATGGGAGAGGGATGTCCCACATTCCACTTCAATTAATGTAATCACATAAGGCCCAGAATATAATCAGTTTTAAGGAAGTTTCAATTCCCACCTTAACTGATGTAGTCATAAAAATCAATAAACAAGCTCAGAAAGTGATCACAAGGTGTAAAGCAGGTCATAACCATGTCATCAGAGAGGCTGGACCTAGGAGACAATGAATTCAGCCGGAAGCAAAGAGATATGTCAAGGTCAGACATTGAAGCAGAAAGACAGTCATCCAAGGAAAGAAGTATATTCACAGAATGAGACCTCTCATAGCAGAGCAAAGAGTAGGCTATGGACTCAAGAAAGGAACAGATTCTGAAAACCAAAGTAAGCAGCTTCCTCAAGAGAGATGCACTCAAGGTGAGCTGTATGATGACTTAATAAAGGAGAAAAAGGACTTCCAATACTAGGTTACTACCCTTTGCTACACATTTATCCTACCCATGTGCCTCACTACTATTGTGATTTACGTTTGAACCCCATTTCCCCATGGACATGGTGTGTCTTTGTGGGAGATGGCACCCCAAGAGTTTTTAGGGGAATAGTTTTGTCCCCCAAGACTCTGTCCTGAGCTGTCTTCTCTTTTTCCTCTGGCTAAGTGATTTCATCAACTGCAACCAGGTCAATTATGTTCTCAATTGCAGATGATTCCCAGATCTATGTACTCAGACTCTTCTTAATTCTAGTCACTCATTACAACTACCCTTTGGACGTTTTGAATTGGATGTCCTGTAGATATCTTAAACTTAGACCATGTCCAAAATAGAACTCATTATCTTTCCACTAAACCCTCCTCTCTTCCTAAGTTTCCAATTAAGGTGGAGGGTACCACCATCTACACAGTCACCCAGGTTCACAACATTGTTGTCATTACTGACTTCTCTCACATTTGCCCCACACACACAATCTGTTGCCAAGTCTTGTCATCTCTTCCTTTACAGCATTTCTCTAATATAGTACCTTCTCCCCACTTATGCAGGAGTCATCCTTATGCAGGAAGGCCCTTACTCCCTCACACCTGTACTATAGAAATTGTCTCCTGTCTGGTCTCCTTACTGAAAGCTTCTCCCCATTAAAATCCATACTCAATTCAGCTGCTGAAGTGTTTTTCCTAAAATGCAGGTTTGACCTTGTCACCTCCCTCCTTCTCCTCTCCCTCTATAAACTCTTGTTTGCTCATTTCAATCATGTCCAACTTTCTGTGACCCCATTTGGGATTTTCTTGGCATAGATACTAGAGTGGTTTGTCATTTCCTTCTCCAGCTCATTTTAGAGAGGAGGAACTGAGGCAAATAGGGATGTATGACTTGCCCACACAGCTAGTTGAAGTGTCAGATTTAAACTCAGGACAATGAGTCTTCCTGACTTCAGGCCTGCCACTCCATCCATTGCACCACCTAGTGTGCCCTCCGATAAAGTCTAATTGCTTCCTATTAACTCTAGGACCAAATATAAAATACTCCATCATTTGAGACCTTTACAACCTGGCCTGTTCTTACCTTTCCAATATTCTCACACTTTACTTCCTTCCACATATTCTACTATCCAATTACACTGGCTTTCTTGCTGTTCCTCAAATGTAGCATTCCATCTCCCAACTCTGTATGGTCCCCATGCATCTGATACTTCCTCCTTCTGGCCTCCCTCAAGGCTTGCTTCAAATCCCATCTCCTGCAGATGGCATTTCTTAGGTCCCCACATGGCTAGTACCTTTCCTCTGAGATTTCTTCTCATTTACACCATATATATCTGGTATACAGTTACTAGCGTGTTGTCTTCTTCATTAGGATGTAAGTTCCTTGAGACGAAGGACAACATTTTTTTCATTTTCTTTTTATCCCCACATCTTAGCACAGTGTTTGGCATATAGTAAGACCTTAGTAAATGTCCATCGATGGACTCATTAAACTGTTCTTACTATGTCATTTTAAAAAATGCTTTTGCTAACAACCAATTGTCTGTTGACTGATTGTTCATGGGAAGCACACCAGTAGGAACTTGTGAGCCACACTGTTCGTAGTGAAGCCTGCAGGGATACTTTGTGTCATCTGCAAATTTGAAAAGAATGCTAGCTGATTTTAATTTAACTCAGAAAAAAATTGTCTTACAGCTCAGGACCAAGCATAGACCCCTCAGATACCCTCCCTTCTCCTCCCCCTTCCCCCTCTGCTGAAATGATAACAAAAAAGAAAAAGAACAAGCATTTATTATGTACCAGCTTTTGTGCTAAATTCTGGAGATACAAATACAAGCTAAAAAGATAATCCCTACCCTCTAGGAGCTTACATACAAATGGAGGAAGATAATACATAAAAAGGAGCTAGAAGCCGGGAGGTGAGGAGGAAAGGTCTGGAAAGTAGAGAATGCAGACAAGAGAGAAGTCAGCATGGCCTGGTCACCTCATAAAATGGTGATCTGGGCCAGTGACAAACCAATCAGAAAAGAGGCTCTATTAATAACCATTCTTTTGGTTTGGTCTCTTAACCACTTCCAAATCCACTTATGCATATATTATCTAGCCAACATCTCTTCATTTTATTCACAAGAATAGGAGAGACTTTATCAAATGCTTTGCTGAAATCTAAATATGCTATATTATAGCGTTTCCCCGATCTATTACCCCAATAACGTCAAAAAAAAAAAAAAGGAAACAAAGTTAGTACAGTATGACCTGTCCATGATGACAAAGTTCTGACTTCTTGTTTGCTCTTCTGTTTCTAACTGTCTCTTAAATAACGTGTTCTAGAATTTTGCCAGAAACTGCAGTCAAGCTTATTGCTCTGTAGGCTTGCCAACTGTTTCCTTTTCTGAAAATCAGGACAATGATTTAGATTGTACAATTATAATTCTGGGTTTAAGGTTATGCATGCTATTAGCAGTATCCCAGTTTCCAAAGAGATAACTCAAGCAGAAGTGGAATATTAATAATGATAATAGCAACTAATATTTATATAGCACTTACATTGTATCAGGCATTGTGCTAAGTGCTTTACAGTTATCTTATTTGATCCTTACAACAGTCCTGGGAATTAGGTGCTTTTATTTTTCCTATTTGATAGATGAAAAACTGAGGCAAACCTAAGTTGTGACTAGCTCAGGGTCACACAGTTAGTTAGCATCTGAGGTCAGATTTGAAATCAGGCCTTCCTAATTCCAGGCCCAGTGCTCAATCCACCCCTCCGCCTAGCTTCCCCAAATATGTCACAAAGCATCTGAATGGCCTATGGGGTGTACTTTTTTGGATTTTTCCTATGTGCACACACATGCAATCCCTTGTACCCTGAAGGAAGGTGTAGAAACAATAGGAAGTCAAGTTCCAAGAAAAATAAGAGAAAGAAAGCAATGGCTAGCTGCCACAGAAATTTTACTCAGTGGCCTAGTATAATAGGAATTTGTTTCGTGGAAATTGTCTAGCCTAGAGTTTTAGACAACTAATGATAATAGCTGATGTTTAAGGTTTGCAAAGAACTTTACATGGAATAACTCATTTGATCCTCACAAAACTCTGGAAGATGGGGGTTATTGTCCCTATTCTACAGATGAGAAAATTGAGGCTGAAAGAAGTTAAAATACTTATGCAAGGTTACCCAGCTACTATCTTTCTGATACAGGATTTGAACTCAGGTCTTTCTGGATCCAAGCCCAACATTCTACCCATTCATTATACCATGATGTCTCTCACATAACTGAATGTGATCATCTGTCTGCCTATGTGTCGGCCTAAGAGCAGTTTCAGAGAATCTATAGGAGGCTTTCCAGCCTAGAGTTGAAACCCCACTAACCCAATAAGCTCCAAACCACAACTTGGCAAAACAACATGGTCTGTATGGAACTGTGGAGATCCATGCAACTGAGGGCCCTATGACTCAAAGCCAACAAAGCCTTTAGTATTTCAAAGTGTGCCTTTCCTCTTGGTGAAACAATATCTATGGTTTTTTTTATTAGGACTATAGGAAATTCTGTTGGTAGATTTATTTCTTAGGCTAGCAAAATAGAAGGGGAGAACACTGAAAATACAGGTGTTTTTCTCTTAAAAAGAGATCTAAAAGGTAGTTTCTTGTCTAACAACCATGGCGAAATTCTGACTACCACCAAATCGAAATTTTAATTCTGAAAAGAAGCAGCCTGCACCAATGCTAGTTTCCTGTGGGCACTTTTTGTTTTGTTTTGTTTTGAGTCTAGATCTCCCTATCTTGCCCAGGCTGGAATTGCAGTGGCCACTCAAGGCCTGACCCCACTGTTGATGAGCACAGAAGTTTTGAGCTTTTGTCTTTCTGACTTGGACCAGTTTTGCTCCTTGTTCAGCAACCTCCACCACTCTCACTGCACTACCAAGGGCTGATCATATTGGTGCTGGACAGTGTCAACATCCAACCCGCTTAACTCCTACTATAATTCAGAACTCCAGAACTCAAGTGATCCACCAACCATAGGCTCCCCTAGAAATGGAAACTACAAGCATGTACCCTAGATCCATCATTTGTGTGTGTTTTTTGTTCACATTCTTTGTAAATACAGCAGGATGCTGTGTACATTCATACAAAGCCAGCTTTACTTTGAATGAGGTTTCTGATGTTCAGAGACAGCTGAACAGATTTAAGTGTAGAGCTGAATGACAAGAAAGGTTCATCTGTATAACCTCAATGGAGAAAGGAGACTGTCTTGAGCCTGTGACTTCTGAAATTCTGTACTAAGAAAAAGAGAGAGTTTGGGTTTCTGATTTCTGAAGAGTCGGGGATTAAATTTCCCAGACATAGGAGTCTGAGATGTTCTAGCCAAAATGCAAACTGCTTCTAGACATTCAACCAGGCAATCCTAGCACCTTGAGAATAGACTTCTATAAGAAGTCTATTGGGCCAAGCCCAATAACAGAATAGGCCTGAGAGGAAACATGGGTTATAATCACAAAACCTTAAATCTTCCTTCAGAGGCTTCACATCATTAAGAGTCAGAGGAATGATACAAGAAGTTCATTTGGCAAAGGAAGCACTTCAAGATGGCACTGTGCCTGGACCAGGATGGGTGAGAAGGAGGGGTTGAAAGAGCTCTCCACTCCATAGGTATTAGAAGTATATTGTTAGAATTGACATATGATTTGGACATGCCAAGGACCATAAAAGGTATGTAAATAAAATCTTTATCAAGTGCCTACTATGTGCTAGGCATTGTACTAAGCACTGGGGATACAAATATATTCAAGTTATACAGTCCCTGTTCTCAATGGGCTTACATTCTAATGGAAGAAGACAACTCAAAAGCTGGGGGTAGGGGGAAGAGGGAAGGATACCATTTGTGGGTAAAACAGTTGACAAGGAAAGAGGTTGGGAGAGTAGAGCCACAGACCTGTGGAGCATGGCCTGAGCCCCTCCTGAAATAGTGTTCCAGCAAGCAGTCACCAATACCAAGAACTGGGGGTTTGGATGGAGCTTTCTAGACTTGTCCTTTCCTTTTAGCAAGAGTATCCCTTTGCAGGTGGATCTAATAAGAAGATAGAAGGCTAGCCTTAAAGTCAGGAAGATCTGGGTTCAAGTCCCTCCTCTGACACCCACCAGTTGTGTGACCCTGAACAGGTCACTTAATTCCTCAATGATTCAGCCAACTCTCTCCAGTAAAAAGTTCCAGAGACTTCTTGCCCATCTGCATTGATGGAGAAAGACTGCACACTGAGAGGTTCCCACACTGATGAAATCATAAAGGCAGGATGAGACAGTGGAAAAATACTGGCTTTAGATTCACAGGACCTGGGCTTAATTCCCACCTTCACTTATTAGCCAATACCTTGGGAAAGTTACCCTGGGCCCTAGTTTCCTCATGTATAAAATGAGGGAGCTTGGAAGAGGTTTGAAGGTTCCTTCCAGCTTTACCTTTCATGGATACTCCAGTAGGGAAAAAATTCCCTTTGCAAGCCACTCATGCATAAATTTACTGAGATGGGTAAATGGTTTATGAGCTGCACTTTGTCTGATCTTGGTATTTTAGTTTTAATAATCTGTTTAACCTTGAGCATCTCTTTAACCTTTCATCTCTTGTTTTCTTAACTTTCTCTTTATAAAATCTAGTTTGAAGACTGGTCAACATGAAGGTTAATTGTATCACAAAATTTCAATGAATTATTGTCAATTATAAAGTGGAAATCACAGATTGTCTTCCAAAAGGAACTGAAAGAATTAAATCTACAATATAGTATTCAATAAAAACTAACAAAGGCCAAAATCTTCCACCAAGATTAGATTCTCAATGGTTTACTTCATGATGATGGAGGCTACCAAAATGACTTGCCATCAGATACCCTTGACATCTGTTTTTCATCATGTGCCAGCAGGAATAATTTCTCATTTAAATGTCTTTTTTGTAATTCTTCCTACTAATTGCACTGACTACAATGGTCATATACAATGTTTTCTTTGGAAAATATATACTCTGAATGACTATATTCTGAACAGCTTCTAGTACATTAGAGTAATAAACAAATTACCATAATTAGTAATAATGATCATCTTTCCAGTCTTCCGAAGTCTTATCCTGTCCCAGAACTGACTGTGTCTTCTTAAAGGCTGAACCAGTAAAGTATAAGCTATGGAAAGTCCTTCTAATATGGAAGGCTTCATGTCTTGACCTAATGATGGACTGCCTGACTTACATCTGAGAACCATAGTGATTAAATCAAGACTCTTTCAAAATATAAAGTAATAGTAATGTTATCCCAGAGAACCTTCTGATCACACCTGAAATGGTGATTGACCATACTTTGGAGTTTGCAAGAGAGGTGTCTGTACTACTCTTCAAAGAAAATGAATTTTCTAGGGCAGTTAGGTGGAGCAGTGGATACAGCACTAGCCCTGGAGTCAGGAGGACATGAGTTCAAATCCAGCCTCAGACACCTGACACTTATTACCTGTGTGACCCTAGGCAAGTCACTTAACCCCACTGCCTAGCCAAAAAAAAAAACCCAAAGAAAATGAATTTTCTTCTGATGTTCATGTCTTTAGTTCTGGGAGTCACCTTTTGTTTTTGTTTTGTTTTTAGATTTCAATATTCACCTCTTTAAGATTTTGAGTTCAAAGTTTTCTTCCCTTCCTGGCAATCCCTCCTTCCCAAGACGGCATGCAATCTGATATAGGCTATACATGTACAATCATATTAAACATGTTTCCACATTAGTCATATTATAAAGAAGAATTACAACCAAAGGGAAAAACCATAAGAAGAAACAAAAAGAGAGAGAGAGAGAAAAATAGTATGCTTTGATCTACATTCAGACTCCATAGTTCTTTCTCTGTATGTGGATAGCATTTTACATCATGAGTCTTTTGGAATTGTCTTAGATCCTTATATTGCTGAGAAGAGTTAGGTCTATCAAAGTTGGTCATCAGACAATGTTGGTGTTACTGTGTACAATATTCTCCTGGTTTTAAAAGGGACATTGGAAAACTTCACTCTAGGTGGGAAGCAGGCAGGCTGATATGGGGTCTGGAAGCCATGTTACATGAGGAATGTTAAAGTAATTAGAAATGTTTAGTCTAGGAGACAGAGGACTAGGGGGAGATCTGGAAGTTACCTTTAAATATTTGAAGGACTGTCATATTAAAAAAAAAACCCAAGACAGTTAAACTTATTCTGCCTGGTCTTAGAAAGGAGAACCAGGAACCATGAATGGGAGTCACAAAAAGGTAAAAAAAAAATAGCTGTTTAAAAATGGAATAGATTTC